CCTGGGCAGGGACCCAGAGCCCACTTTCTAGCTTGTCTCTGTTTCCATGAAGTAGTAGTGGGGACATGCAAGGCACACACAGACCCACAGCCATTGTCCCACCTCAGCATGGTCTCTGATCAGGCTTAGAATTCACCTTTCTCTTTGGGAAAGCCCAACAGAAGAAAAGAGAACAAGGGGTCTTGAAAGTGGGTAATATTCAGAGACATTATGGTTGCATTCTCTAACAAACTTCTACTCATCCCATGAAGGCCCAAACATAAAATCCCTATGTTAAAAGCCTGGTGCTTCCATTATGCTGACTGCACAAGCTACCATGACACTTAATACATTGAGATGTAATTACACACACAGTTACTTGTTCCTCTCTTTGTAAAATTACCTTCCTTGAGGGTGAAGACCTAGATTTTAATTACCAGCATTTTACTGAATATACTCTGGGCTGAAACCCAATTACAGTGTGTAAGGACTTTTCTTATCTACACTATCGTAGCTCTTCCAACAATACTTAAAGACAGACCTTGTTGTTCAACTTCTAGATGAAAAAAAAAAAAAGAGGTCCAGAGAGACTGAGACACACATTTAAAGTAACAAAGCTAAAAAGTGATCTCTTTTTTAAAAAAAAAATTTATTGGGGCTGGGAAGTGGCTCAGTGGTAGAGTGCTTGCCTTGCATGCCTGAGGCCCTGGGTTCGATTCCTCAGCACCACATAAGCAAAAAAGAAAAAAGCTGGAGATGGCGCTGTGGCTCAAGTGGTAGAGCGCTAGCCTTGAGCTGAAGAGCTGAGGGACAGCGCCCAGGCCCAGAGTTCAGGCCCCACTAACGGACCCCCCCAAAAAAATTTATTACTCTGCATATCAAGTAAGTTTAGGGCTTTGTTCTGGATCTGTTTGACAACTGTTTTTGTGTTCTTTCTTATTTATTTATTTAATTTTATTTTTAGTCAATCATGGGGCTTGAACTCAGGGCCTGGGTACCATTCCTTAGCTCTTTTGTTCAAGGCTAGCATTTACCACTTTGAGCCACAGTGCCAATTCTGGTTTTCTGGTGATTGATTGCAGATAAGATTCTCACAACTGGGGCTGGGAAGGTAACTCAGTGGTAGAGTGCTTGCCTTGCATGCATGAGGCCCTGGGTTCAATTCCTCAGCACCACATAAGCAGAAAAAGCCAGAAGCAGCCCTGTGGCTCAAGTGATAGAGGTCTAGCCTTGAGCTGAAGAGCTGAGGAATAGCACCCAGGCCCAGAGTTCAGGCCCCATGACTGACCCAAAAAAAAAAAAAGAGTCTCACAACTTCCCTGTCAGGGCTGGCTTCAAACTGCAATCTTCATATCCTAGCCTCCTGAATACAGGAATATGACACAGGTGCCTGGTGATCTATTTCTTTTTTTATTGTGGATCAGAGCATGACAGATTTGATCTGGGCCTTGAAGGATGGGCAGAATTGAGTTAAACTTTAGAACTAGATAGAAAAAAATACTAGTCTTTCTGTAACTAGATACATATGCAGACTGATAGACTATTGGACAGATTCACAGACACAGAGTGGATCCTCTAGCCTACGAGAGAGTACAGACATAAGAAAACAGAAGGTACCATCATCACAAGATGTGCTGGGATAGGCAAGTTAATACCCAATGTGTACAAGCTGGGAATGCCCAGGGTAGGAAGCTACACTTATCGAAACATCAAGGGCATGGTGTCCCCAAGCCCCTGAGACCCCTTGATTCCTTGACCACACATTGACTGACCATTCACCTCATAGTCTCCCTCCTGCCCTAACATCTCAACACCAGGGTCACCTCCCCAGGGATCTGAGGGGTAGCCCCGAGAGGAGTGGGGAGGGGTTAGCTAGGGCAGCTCTGAAGGTCAGTGAGGCTGGCACACGCTCCTAACAGAGGTAGTGGAGCAGCACCGCTGGGCACAGACACAGGCAAACACGTTTGAGCAAATTGGCACACCATAAAAGTCTATTACAGCAAATCAAACAGCAGTCAGCATGACAGCCATTAGCCTGAAATGAATACACGACACTTAATGAGGTCTGTGGGGCTGGCTGGGTGAATTAAGTTGCCAATTCTAGCAGGATTTCCCTTTTCTTTACGGACTTGAAAGCATCCACGCTGCCTCGTTAGGGCTTCGACAAGTGAATTGCAGGGCCTTTCACCCTGATAAAATGGATAATTACATGGAGAACCGCTTTAGTGAGGGGGAGAAGAGTGGGCGGGAGAGGGGCCAGAACAAACAAACCCAAACACACACCTGCTGGGGTGGCTTCTCCCAATCCAGAGCTAACTGAGTCCTGGGAGTGGGGCTAAGCCTGGGAGGGCAAGGGGCAGGACTTGGCTGTGAAGCCCCACCTACCCATTATTCCTAGCCTCAGCGCCTGGGGGAGGCAGCTATGGATGTCAGAAGTCCTCAGCCAAGACAACTGCCTTCAGCACTTCTGGAAACTCTAAGTGATCACCCTGCCGGCTCCTCCATCCTGGCTGGTGTCCCTGTCATCGAAGGAGTTCATTTCAAAGGCAGATTTTAGGTGTGTGGAGGTTAGGAAGGTAAGGGAGAGGATGTGATAGCGAGAGGTCCACAGGGGATCCAAGTGGATGGGAGTGAGGTGGCCTGAGCCTCTCTGCCATCCTTAGAGGATAATGAAATCCTGTCAGATAAGGAGGATCCTAGATCCTGGTTTGTGACAGCTACTGGGACCGAAGCCAGCAGAGGGACAGTGAGAGACCTAGAGTTTTACCCAGGCAGTCAGCACCTGCAGGACTAGAACCCAGGTCTCTTCTATCATTCCTCCTCCCACTACTACCTCTTCTAGGTCTGTTAATAACCCCACCTCCTCCAGGAAGCTGGTGGGATTTCTCTGGTCATTCTGGTGAAACAGGGTCTTCAATACCCTGCCCTACCCTGTTCTTTGGTTTACATGCTCACCTGGTTCATATCTAAAGGCCTTGGCCACTGAGTTGCTTTTCTAGAACAAGAGCCTGGGGTGTTTAGGAGGCCCTGGGCTCCATTCTCCAGCCCAGAGCCAGCAGGCCTTGTGCTGGTCCACAACTGGAGCCTGAACCAAGAAGCTCAGTTCCAGCTCAGGCAAGGGCTGGACCCTGCCACGCCACCTCAGATCATGAGTGGCCAGGCTGCCTTGCGGCTGATACCACATCCTTACTGGCCCCAGTGAGCAGTTCTAAACCAGGCCACTGAAGGATGCAGGGAGTTTACACACAAGTAAACACAGGGGCCTTCCTTGAGATATGGTGCATCCTTTCTGCCTATCTACTTCTCAGTAGAAGGGCAGGGAGGTTACTTTATCCATTCTGCCTTTCCTACTTTATAAGACAAGGGGGACGATGGCCCAGAGAGGTTAAGCAACATGTCCTGCCAGATCTAGCAGTCTGGGAGCTAAACAAGGGTTAGCCCTATGATCCTCAGCCCTGAGTCCTGACCCTCATTCCACACTCCTGAGGTATCTCAAACCTCTGTGGAATGCCTACCCCACAGAAGACACTGAACAAGGGCTCTGTCCTTATAGGCATTAAGAGAACTCCAGGGGTTCCAACAGGGCTAGGTGCTGCCAGTCCCATCTCTGGAGGAGAGCAGAAAACTGGGCCTGGGCCAGTGAAGCTGGGGAGGAGGGACATGATCCTGTGTCCTCTTATTGCCGGTGCTACTGCTGCCCCCCCTTAAGGGGAGACAGAGGGCAGCCATGCCTGCCAGGATGGCAGCTGAGCAATGGGCCCAAGGCTCATTAACTCCCAGCCATGCCCTTGGTTTCTGAGCCCAGGCCCAAAGTGCAGGCTGGCACGTAGAGCTCCTTAATTAAATTAGGGAGACTTCCAAATGAGCAAGAATGTGGAGCCAAGCTGCAGTCCCTGGGCATGCCAGCCAGAGCACAGGGCACTGGGTTGCCATGTTAAGGACCATGGACTCCTCCTCTTAATGGTTGATGATAAGCAGGGGAAAGGCCTTTATGCCTCAGGTATAGCTGCAGCCCACATATGTCCTCCAGCCTTCCACATGGGAGGAGCATGGAACCCTTGAGGAATGAGGGCTACAAGATCTCTTCATTTTAGAGAAATAGCTGACCTTTCCTGGGAGTCAGGAGGCTCAAGGTCACAGATGTGTGACCTTGGGCAAGTCTTTCTCTCCCAAATCAAACCTGTGGGACATTCTCTTAAGAGTTAGTAATATAAAAGAGTTAGAACCCAAATGCCTGGTGCCAACTTGCCTTCCAGAAAGTTCTATCTCCCCTGGTTCTCAGCCCAACCTTTGACAGCTGATGCCCAGAGTCCCCAAGGGCAGAGCGTTTTTTTTTCTCCATCACCTTCTGTCTCTTTGTATCACTAGTTTCAGCCATCAGCCACTGTGGTGAAAGACAGCAAGTAGTAGGAACCCTGGTGCCAACGGGAGCCAGGAGCCAGCTTATTAATGAACCGTTCGTAATGCAATAATTTGTACTTCTCAATTACCAGCAATGGCTTGATTTTACATGCCTGCAAACATGCTCAGACCAGAAGCCAAGGGGACATGGGCCTGAGCACAGGATGGCACAGGACTAGGGAAAGCGTTTTCACAGGACTACACTCTCCCCAAATTCTGTGGGACTTCACTCTGGATAAATCGGGAAGCCAGTGATAAGGCCTAGGAACCCACCTGGCCCACCAAATCATGAATGGGATAAAAGAAGGTCCACCACCGGCCTATCCCACCTCCTGTCCTGGTGTGGACTCCAGATAAAGGTAGGATCTCTACCAAGCAGGTTCTCTCAGGCTCTATGGCTCCTACTGCCCACTGACCCAGCTATAATCTCCACACTGACCCCCATCTTCAGAGGTGCCAGCTGATTACTGATTGGCCCAGAGTAGACATTGGGCAGGGACATGGCAGGGGAGGGCTGGAGTTGCCTGTTCCCTGGCTGATCTCCAGGTACCTCACTCTGCTAGTCGGAGGAGCAGCAGGCCCCAGAACTCCCCCCAAGGTGACACCCTAGACGTTCTTACCTCAGGGATGCGCACGCTGTAGGGCTGGTTGTGAAATGTGGGCGCATTGTCATTCACATCTCCCACCTGGATGTTCACCTTCCGTGTGATCACCTGCAAGAGAAGGGTGAGGACTTAGCTGCCCCTGCCTCTGGCCTCTTTCTACCCAAGGGGCCCAGGAATTGCTCCTCCCAGGGCAGCAGGGCCCTCTGGAAACACTCACCCCCTGGTGGTCACTGACAGAGAACTCCACTGTGAACTCTGACTTGGTCTGAAAGGAAAAAAATAAAATAAAATAAGAGAGGGAGGGAGTGCAGAGTTAGTGAGGAGCCTGAGGAGCTGCAGGCTGGATCTAGTCCTGGGTGAGGCTGAGAGGCTCTAGTATTGCCTGGAAACTTGTCCAGAATTGGCAGCCAGGAGCTTCCCAAAAAACAAGCACTGCCCTTTGCTTGGGGAAGGCATATAGAATATGGATTCTTCCTTAAAAGACAAGCGCGCTGTGTACCAGTCTTGGATCTGCCTCTCAATGACTGCGTGATATTAAGCGAGTCACTTGACACTTCTGATGGCCACTCTTGGAAATGCAAGAGATCACAAAGCATGGGGCTCTGTGTAAATCTTTCCTTAATTTGTTTAGAAATCACTGTTCCAGAAACTTCTGCCTCTCTAGAAATTTCCATGTTATAGGACTGTTTGCTGGGGTGTAAGTTGACTGCTGTCTCCCAGAGCTCCATTCTACATGGGATGACCCCATGATTGCAGTGGCCCTTGCCTATCCAGTGTTACCCCTTTGTTTAGAAACCCCCCAATCACCTCATTCCAACCCCAAGCGCAGCCATCAGTATGTACCCTCAAAGAGGGCTACCACTCAGTCAGAAAGATACATTTTCAGAATCAGAAAGTGGCCTTAGAAAAAGCCCCCCCCCCGAAAAGATGATTAAGGCCCCCCTTCTGCCAGTATCTGCCCACCTCTTCCAGGAAAGGGTTAGGGAAGGGTACAGGCAAGTCCTACCTCTCTGTCCAATGGCTGCCTAAGCCATACCACACCAGTGTCAGGTTCCACAGCAAAGAAGCGGGAGGCTTCCTCTCCAGACACGCCAAACACCAATGGATCATTGTCCATATCTCGGGCCAGCAACTGAGTCACAGATGAACCTGGAATGGCCAAGCAAGAGAGCAGAAGACGGAGATCAGGTCCATTCCTTACCATAGTGTTCAAGTGGCTGGACTCCCAGCCCTGAGCACTCATCAATAGATCTCAGCAGGTTATGGATCATCTCAAGACACTATGCATTTCAGGGCTCTATCCAAGGCTCTCTTCTATCCTGGCCCCCACAGAATCACCATGTTTTGGTCATGTAAAGGAAAGCTGTAACTTCTACCTGTCCTCCTTTTTCTAATTTTGGAGGTCTCCTTCTCCAAGTAGCTTCTCTTTCTCCTCACTAGGTCCCAACACTTGGATTCTTATGTTCCAAGATGGGGCAGATAATTCAGCCCTAGCCAATTAGAGTGAATATTCTCATCTCTCTGGATACAAAGATTGTCCAGTATGAGCATGTGACCAAAACTAACCAATCAAAGGCAATCCTGGGACTTTTGGAATTCCTGAACTGGCACTGTTACCAGCATATTTGGCACCACAGAAGCCGACCCTGTCTGAGAATGAGGACCCCAAGGATAAAAACAGACGCAAGTGGTACCTTGGAGAGGCTGATTCCTGTTGGGCTGAGACTATGTAGTGTGACTAACACTGATTCCACTCTCTAGATGTTATAGGAACTAAACGTATCTTCTCCACTCTCCCTCCCTCCCTCCCTCCTTCTCTCCCTCTTTCCCCTTTCCCCACCCCTCTCTCTGTCCTACATCAGTTGAGTTGAATTTTTCTTTTGCAAATAGAAGAACCCTTTCTAATTCAGAATATTTTGCGAATCCTTCTGGCCCTCTATCAAAAATATCTATGTGTTTACTTTGTGATAAGTACTGGAGTACATAGAGATTAAGAAAATGTGGCATGGCCTTAAGACTACACTCCAGTTCTGTCCTCAGGAAGGGGATTGAATGGTGTCACCCCTCATTAAGTCCTGGTCCCCCTGGGCATTAGGATGCCTGGTCTGCAGCCCACCTCAGAAGCTCTAGCACAGCACATCTTTTCCTAGGACTTACAGGTTCCCTGATGGCTTTCTGACAGGGCGGTCAGGACTGAGGTGTTTCCTAGCACAATGACAAAACCTTAAAGTTCTAGGGAGATGGGAGCAGTTGGTCACCTTGGCTTCAGGAGGTCCCTAAATCCCCAGGAACTGTGCCAAAATGTCATGAGTATCTGATATGTGACATTCTGAAGGGAGGCCATCTGGTTCTGAAATGGACAGAGCAGAGTGATGGCTAGGGGCAAAGCCCTTCTCTCAAGGGCCCCTAGAAAATGGTACTGTCTTTTCCCCAAATACCAACTGTGCTATTTACCAGGGAAGATTAAGCCAGGGATGGAAAGAAGGATTTGAAGCATGGGGAATTTCCTCCAGGTTCATGAGCTTTGGCAATTGAACTTTCCACAGGACAGTTCTAACCTGACTGTGACAGCTAATGCTTTTGAGCCCCAATAATAGGCAGTTTCTGAGCTAAGCACTGTCTGATGCTGTCCTTACCAGTATTGTCCGTGCTTCACAGATAAGGAAACCAAGAATGATGACGTAATTTCCCTCAACCTCACAGTTAGTGAAGGGCAGAGCTGAGATCTACAGTCCGGGTATCCAGGGCTCATTGTCCACCTCTGTCTCAAGTGAATTCATGTACCGCTTAGGGCCAACTAGATGCCCAGATCTCGAGAATGGAAAATCCTGAGCATTCAGATCTCAACACACCAGATACCACATCTATTCACTGTTCCATCCTCCTAGCAGCTCGGCCTGGAAGCAATCAGTGCCCCTGCCATACAGGTAGAATGTTGAGGTTCAGGAAGGCAAAGGAGCCTCTGCTACATGCAGCTCAGATCATCGGCAGCAATGTGATGGGAGGTGAGCAGAGAGAGGAGTTGTGAAACCACAGAACAAAGTTGGAACAGCTCAGAGCACAACCTTCCAGAGGAAGAAGCCAAAGGCACTAAGCAAGCTGCCTATGTGGGATGGTGAGTACCAGGCAGTACTCAAATCCAGATCTTCAACACCCATGCTCCATTCAATCCCCTTCCTGAGGACAGGACTGGAGTGATTGTCTTAAGACCATGCTACATTTTCTTAATCTCTGTGTACTCCAGAACTTGTTGATGGGGGAAGGGAAGGAGTATGTGAAAGTCCCAGACAAATGAAACACATCTCCTCATAGGTCTGCATTCCTAATGGCAAGGAATACAATGGGTGTAGGACATAGCATTTATTTTTGAGATATTACATAAAGCTGTTAGAGAATTTCCAACCCTTCCATCATCAAGCACAGGAAACACTGAACTAACTCTCAGGCTGTGGGCAGTGATTCCACAGTAAGCTTCGGCCAATATGCATCCCACTCTTCCACATCACAAGGATCCATGCCAGTCTGTAACCCCCAACCCCGCGCCCCCCCCCCCCCCCGCCCTACTACCCAGACCTCACTTGCCAACTCCTTCCAGGTAGAGGGTGTGAAGCCAAGCCGTGACTGGCTGAGGAGGATTCTGGGAAGGCCACATTGGCTCTCCAGCCAAGGCCATGTGACTCGGCCTGATAATCCCAAATGGCTTTCTCAGACCTGACACTCAGGTCCTCCGAAGAAGGGGGGCACTGAGCAGGACAGGGATGGGGCCATCAGCTGCTGTCACCCACCCTGTAATTTCCTGGACTTTTATCCATTTTCCCCTCAATTATATGCTACTCAAAATGGTCCTTTTCGGCTTCCTCACAGGCTCTTGCCTGCTCACGCCTTCTTTGTGTCCTAGGTAATTGCTGGTGACCTTTTCTAAGTGTACTAATTAAAGGTGCCGATTTAATATTATATTTAAGACAAGATGCCCTGCAATTTTCCAGCTGGACACACATTCCTCTGCCTGGTACTGCTCTGCTGCTCAGTCCCTCTGTAGAGGCTGGGTCTGGAAGCCAGGCTCACTTCCCCACCAGGAGAAGTATCCAGACAGAGACCACCCCTGCCTTTATTTATTTATTCATTTATTTATTTGTGTGTGTGTATGTGCCTGTGCCAGGAATGGAGCATGAACACTGGGCTTAGGCACTGTTCCTGAATTCTTTTGCTCAAGGCCAGTGTTCTACCACTTGAGCCACAGCTCCACTTCAGGTTTCTTTGGGTAGTTAACTGGAGATAAGAGTCTCACAGCTGGGTTATGATGGCTCACGCCTATCATCCTAGCTACTCAGGAGGTTGAGATCTAAGGATTGCAGTTCAAAGCCAGCCTGGGCAGGAAAGTCTGTGGGACTCTTATCTCCAATTAACCACCAGAAAACCAGAAGTAGTGCTGTGGCTCAAAGTGGTAGAGCATGGCCTTGAGCTGGAGAGCTCAGGGACAGTGCCCAGGCCCAGAGTTCAAGCCTCACAACCGACTAAAAGAAAAAAAAAAAAAGAGTCTCACAGACTTTTCCTGCCTGGGCTAACTTCAAACATGATTCTCAGATCTCAGCCTCCTAAGTAGCCAGTAATACAGGTGTGAACTACTAGTGCCTTTTCCACCATTCCTGCAGAAATGAAGCCTGTTGGCAGGATTCCACTTCAGGCCCCCTGGCCACAGCTACTCAGGTGAACTGTCCCAGGTGGTGACCCCACACAGGGTCTTTTTCCCACCCAAGAAACTGAGACAAGAACCTTGTATCTCAGGGCTACAGGGCACTGTGGGTGCTTTTCATAATGACAAAATACAAATCACATGAAGTTTACCATTGTAAAGATTCAAAGTGAGACTAAAGGTTGTTAAGTTTAGGGGAGGAGTTCAAAGATACAACTCCTCTGAACAACTACCATTTACCAAAATGAGTACAAAATGAAACAGAAACATGTTTTGGGGGGAAAAGCAAAGGGGGGACACATGAAAGGAGGGAGGAAGGGGAGAAAATGCAGTCATTATAATCAACATACATTATAGAAAAATTGAACTATGTCACTTGAAGGTAGGGATGAAGGAGTCAGATGGGGGAGAAAATGGAAGAAGTGACATTGATCAAGAAGTATTGTGCTATAATCTGACTTCTGGAATTGTAACCATTTTGTACAACTACTTAACAAAAATTTTTTTAAAAAAAATTAAAGCAAGCAATTCACCACAAGTCATCCTGATATTCCTATCAGGAACATTTCATAGAAACAGAACTGTTTAATATGTGGCCTTTTGTGTCTTGTTTCTTTCATTTAGTATCATATCATGTTGTGGTATATATTACAACCTCATTCTGTTACTGGCTGAATTGTGCATATGTAAATGTAATATAGCCTCTTTACCCAGTGTTCAATGGGAGGACTTCTGAGTTTTGCCCACCTTTTGGCTATGAAGAACAATGCCTCTTGAGCAGGGCGCTGGTGGCTCACGCCTGTAATCCTAGCTACTCAGGAGGCTGAGATCTAAGGATCGCGGTTCAAAGCCAGCCCAGGCAGGAGAGATCGTGAGACTCCTATCTCTAATAAACCACCAGAAAACCGGAAGTGGCACTGTAGCTCAAGTGGTAGAGTGCTCGCCTTGAGCTGAAGAGCTGAGGGACAGCGCCCAGGCCCAGAGTTCAAGCCCCACGACCGACCAAAAAAAAAAAAAAAAAAAAAAAAAGAAGAACAATGCCTCTGTGAATATTTGTGTACCCATTTCTGTTTGAACACTTATTTTTAATTTTCTGTTTATACACTTAATTAAGAGTAGACTCACTGGGTTATCTGGTAGTTCTATGCTTAACTTATTGGGGAGTTGCCTAGTGGTTTTCCACAGTGGTTGCACCAGTGCATGCTCCTACCAGCAATGAACAAGGACTGGAGTTCTTTGCCATGGTAAGGAGGATCCCCAATAATTCACAAGTGCCAGGGCCCTGATGATGGCACTGTGGGGGCTGGTAAGGCATCCATAGTAGATGCTGTTAGTATCTTGTCCACTTCTCCCTCCCTTCCACTGCCAGCCCCATTGCCTTTGTTTGAAGATTTCTGGCCATCACAGACAGACAGCCCTTCCCCACACAGGCCAGGGCAGAAGGGCCAGGGAACAA